CAATGTGCCACTAAAATTCTACTATGCGTTTCTTTTTTTGAAGAGTATATTATATATGCCTGTCTCAAAGTGTCCCACCGTTATTTATTTATTTTTTTATATGGAGAGGTGGTAATGATAGCAATCATGATCTGAAAGTCCGAGGAAAATTAGGACCGATTTTAGTTGAAAATTAACTTTTTTTTTAAAGAAATAACTTCATTACCAGAACCACATTTTTGATTTTTTTTTTGTGAATATACATATTTAAGAAAACTTTGATCAATCTGCTAAAAAACATTACAAAGTTTAAGACTACAGGATATTTTCCATAAAAATGTCACTTTGTGAGTGCAGTCGGAAAGGTTAAATAATTGATTGTGCGAAGAAATTTGAAACATTTTGATTCCATTGATTTATTTGGCTAAAAAAATAAGAGGAAAAGCTAGGAAGGTTTGATTCATGTTTTAGACAAAATTTCAAGGTCATAAAATTCTTTTCTGTTTAAACACTTTCATTTTTTCCAGGCGCGGATCATGAAATTTATTTCTTATTCCGTCCTACACTTTAAAAATCCAACATAGTAAACTAATACTAAAACTAAAACTAAAATTCATGTTTTTCTCTGGGAGACTCGAAATAAGTGTCAGATCAAAAAGTAAGATAAGAGGTAAACATTGGCATCATATAATTAAGAATCTTTGGAAGTTTCATTATCCTTAAATTTTATTTAGTGGTATAGGAGGAGTTGCAGAATAGAGATGGGTGCCCTTCAATATTGTAGAAAGAATAGCAGTGTCGATGTTTTGCCATGGGAAACCACAGATGCTTGGGGGACGGAATCCCCCCCCCCCAATGTTCCGTAACCCAAGGGTTCTTTGACTTTTTCATTACAATATTTTTCTATGACATATTTACATTTGAAAAAATCCTAAATTTAAACGAAAACTTCCTTTAACAAAATCATTCTCTCTGATACTTAAACAAAACATTTACTAAAAAATCCGGAAATATTTAAGGACCAATTGTAGCCCAAAATTAACACTTTAAAAAATAAACTTTTTATTTTCTTTTCTGAATATATATACGTATAAGATAACTTTGATTATTCTGCTTAAAATTTGTGAAAAGAAATTAAGATCATAGAAATAATTTTTCTGATTGTTAATATTTAATGCCAGAAAAAAGTTATTTTGTGAGTGCAGAAAGGTAAGATAACTGTTTGTGCGAAGTAATTTGAACCTTATTAGCCAATTGATTTATTAACAGGAGTTTAAATATCGAAGGAAACTTTGAGTATTTATGTTTGAGCCAATATTTTAAAGGTGAAGGTCATAATTTCATAAATCTCTTCAGTTTAATCCATAAACTATATATGCCCGTGTGTAACTCTTTTGTTTCCGGTATGTTAGGAAGCTTTTGCAATAAAATTTTATGCCAGAACAGCATTTTGCCCCGCCCGCCTCTCTCAAAGTGTCCCACCGTTTTTTATTTATTTGTTATAAGGAGGGGGGGGGGGGTAATGATAGCAATCATGATCTGAAAATCGGGGGAAAATTAGGACCGATTTTAGCTGAAAGTTAACTTTTTTTTTTAAAATAACTTCATTACATCAGGGCCACATTTTTGATTTTCTTTTCTGAATATACATATTTAAGATAGCTTTGATCACCCTGCTAAAAACATTACAAGGTTTAAGATTAAAAGATATTTTCCATAAAAATGTCATTTTGTGAGTGCAGCCGGAAAGGTTAAATAATTGATTGTGCGAAGAAATTTGAAACCTTTTGATCCCATTGATTTATTTGGCTAAAAAATAAGAGGAAAAGCTAGGAAGGTTTGATTCATGTTTCAGACAAAATTTTGACATCAGGGTCTCAATATTCTTCTCAATTTAAACACTTTCATTTTTTCCAGCGCGGATCCAGAAATTTATTTCTTATTCCGTCCTATACAATTAAAAAATCCAACATAGAAAACTAATACTAAAACTAAAATTCATGTTTTGCTCTGGGAGACTCGAAATGAGTGTCAGATCAAAAAGTAAGATAGGAGGTAAACATTGGCATTAGGTAATAAAAAATCTCTGAAAGTATCATTAAATTTTATCAAGTGGTATAGGAGGAGTTGCGGATAAGAGATGGGTGCCCTTAAATATTATAGGTAGAATGGCAGTGCCAATGTTTTGCCATGGGAAACCACAGATGCTCGGGGACGGAACCCCCCCCCCCCCTCCCCACCCCCCAGTGTTCCGTAACCCAAGGGTTTTTGACTTTTTCATTAAAATTTTTTTCTATTGTGAGTGCAAAAAGGTTAAATAATTGATTGTGCGAAGTAATTTGAACTTTTTATCCAATTGATTTATTAGGCGACGAAAATGAATTGTTTAAACAATGAAAGTTCGGTGCTTGAAATATTCTTAATAAAATATTCAAAAATAAATAAATTAATTAAACAAGAGGCCCATGGGTCTTATAGGTCACCTGAGCATCATGCAACAACATTCAAATGATTGAATTTGGTTCATGTTTTAAGCTACATGCCATGGCATTCACAATTTTGAAAGAGGCACTATTGCTAATCATAGATATACACTTGGCAATTGCTTAGTTTGGTTACTTAATACCCATAGGCAGGGTAGGGGAACAAAAACTGCATTTTAACTAATCAGTAATATTCAGCAATAATCAGTATAGTGCCCCTACCACACATGAACCCCTGACCCTTGGTCCATACATTGCACAATTTTTGAAAAGACACCATTACTTATCAAAAATGTTTGATTAATACCAAGGAGGAGATTTCCAACAATTAATTCATTTTCAGTATATAAGTAGAGCCCCCCCCACCCTCTATGGTACCCCTGACCCAGGGGCCTTGAAATTCACATTTCTGGAAGAAGGACCCTTGCTCATCATAACTAAATAGGTAGTTCATCTGCTTATTACCCAGGAGCAGAGAAGATTTGATGTATTTTCACTATATAATTAATCAATGGAGCCCCATCCTAACACCAGAACTCCTAACCCTGGGGCCATAAAATTCACAATTTGGGAGAGTCACTCTTGCTCATCATAACTATGTACTTAGTTGGTTTATTTAATACCCAGGAGCAGAGAAGAAGATTTTCAAAGAAATAATTCATTTTCACTATATAATCAATAGAGCCCCGCCCTAACACCAGAACCCCTGACCCTGGGGCCATAAATTTCACAATTTTGGTAGAGGACACAATGCTCATTACATTCATGCCAACAGTTTGACTGCCTATCAATAATATTTTATAAAAGGAATAAACTTAAAAAGAAAAAAATAAACATATTATGGCATATCTGAATTTATTTCCTAGTTGCATTTTTCGATGATACAGAAAATAAATGGTGTTTTTATTTCATAGTTTTAGGGAATAAAGTAACTCGCGTGTGTGTTGATGAGTGACAGCGCTTGTAACCAAAAATTATATATCCTTCTGGGACATCTATCTCTTAATGTTACAAATGCTTTACATATTTTATAAATTGAGTTAATTGTCTTATATTAAAGATTAATTTGTGTGGATTAAACAAATATTTTTTCCCAATGGATACATTATAAACCGTTCCTAGATTTTGTCTAAACCCACATTCCCCCTTAACGAAATTACTAGATCTGCTAGCTCTCAAATTGTATGAAAAAAGATATAACACACGGAATCCCATTGGAACAGTTTCAAACTAGGCGCTTGGAAGAAAAAATTAAATATGTTCTCAAGTTTACAACGATTGGGGTTATTTAAACTAGAGGTGCTGGGAGCACTGAACCCTACCTCCTATATCATTTTCATGGCAAAGTCCGTGTTTTGCTCTGGGAGACCCAGAATAAGTGTCAGTTCAAACAGTAAATAAAAGGTGCACAATGGCACTTGATATGTAATAAAGAATCTGTGAAAGTCTCGTTAAATTTCATTCAGTGGTATAGGTCGATTTGCGGATAAGCAATGGGTACCCTTGTATACTATAGGGAAAAAAAGGCAGAGTCAATATTTTGCTATGGAAAACCCGAAATATGTGTCAGATCAAAAAGTAAAATAGAAGATAGGTGCATTATGGCAATAAGTAACAAAGAATCTGTGAAAGTCTCATTAAATCTTATTCAGTTGTACAGGAGGAGTTGCGGATAAGACATGAGTACCCCAAAGCGTAACGGACGGACATACCGTTCACTACAGTATATACTTTCCCGCTTTTCAAGTAGGGGGTAGTATACATCTAATTTTTAAGAGAGTTTGGTAATTGAATTAGACGCAGGCACAGGCCTTCAGATCGCTTTGATCTGACCGACATGCATGAAAAATAATAACTTTTTTTTTTATACATGTCGGTCAGATCAAAGCGATCTGAAGGTCTGTGGGCGCAGGCGACGTCATTGCGTTTTCAGTGACTGTAACGACCATTTTTTTTTTTTTGAGAGTCTTACTATAATGCTCATAAAATAATATAAAAAATGTTATAATTAAAAAAGAATATTATGCATATTTGCATTCAGAAAGAGTATCAAATTTTCCAAAAAGTTAATTTGTGAAAATTTGTATATTGGAGAAATATAAGTCTTTCAGAAAGAGATTATATTGCAGCAAAATGTACTACATGTATTTTTCTTCGTCATATTATACCCCACTCCTCCAAATACTTAATCCAAGGTCATCATGCAACCTCCAAATTTTAGCCTCAAATTCACCCACAGGAGATTTTTACGGTCTTTTCTGCACCCTTCTACACATACACACACAAATCAAAATTGTTCGCATTATTTTACTGCAAACGGTACCAATGGAGTGGGATTAAATTCCGATAATCTTCAAAAGCCTTGAAGGTGTTCATTTTAATAATGAATGAAGCATGACGCTTAATAATAATATGTCATATAAATAATATATCAGTTGACTGTTCAATGTTGAAAAGTGAGTGAGGGAAAAATATGCTAATATTTTACAATCCCATTTATTTATAAATTTATTATGAATGAAATATAAAATCTTCGTCCTCTTTACATTAAAGGTTGCGTCTATAAATGCAGGGATACGAGCTATTTAAAAAGATGGACAGCTGAGTAGTAGCACAGATCTATCAAAATGACAGGACTTCCGGTCATATTCGTCTGTCTGATGCTGCCCCAGTACATAGTGTGCATTCACGGTAAGTCAAATTCATCATGGGCCGCCAACATTTATGATGTAATTTTTTTTTTGCCTAATTATAACAAAGGGGAACGAATTAAAGAAGAATTAATAAGTATGCCTACCTGCTTACCCTTCCGTTTTTTTTATTTTAAAACTAAAACAATGATGATCAATTAAACACACTTTGGCCACATTAAAAAAACTTTACAAAAAGATATACATGTATTCCATTTCCGCTTAATTTTTTCATATTTTAAGTCTATTTATTGAACAAATCAGAAAAAACAGAAAAATGTAATTGTTTGCTCAAATTGTTCTCTGTTCCATCTAAAAAAGTTTTGTTTTTTTTTTTAAATTACGGCATCCGACCCATATTAGAACCCGATTTTCTAACCTGAAATTAATATCAAATGTGTTTGAAATATTCTGATATTATTTCAAAGCATTTTGGAAAAAGAAAAGGCTTTAACAATAGAAATTTTCAAAAATTCCATTTTCTAAGAAGTAATAAATTATTGAGATTGCGTTAAAGTCTATGGAAAAAATAATAATATTAAAAATAAATTTGCAGGACAAGGTCATAAATTAGCTTCCCGCTCTTACGTACTTATTTATAAACATGAAAATAATGTATCTTATACATAGTATACATCCTATGCATAGATGTTATGCATTCAAATTCCATTGTATCAGGCTATACCTTAATCGCTCGCCCGCTCGTCAAGTAACGGGAAATTAAATTCGTGTGGCCTTTTTTCTGACTTTTTATGCCAAATGTTGCATTTTTTTGTACATTGTATTTATACTCATCAGTTACGATTATTATTACTTTCTTATTGTGCTTTAAATTACAGTACCGTAAGCTCTTGATATCTTTTGTCCAATTTAATAAGTTGTAATTAAGGACAAACGCAACATAATTTTGAGTTTCATTAACTTATTCTCTGTATTATTAAAAAAAAAATCAATAAATGATATACATGTACATTCTCTGGACTAAAATCATTCCTCATCATGCATCAGTTCAGTTCATTTCACACAGACCAACCTGTTGGCACATGCATGACACGCCAAATTCACAAAAATAAAAATAAGCTAAACATAGTTTCACAGTCGATAAACTAGGTTTATCGGTTGTAAACTATAGTTTACGGACTGTAAGCTATAGTTAACAACGTTAATCTATATTTTACATCTGTAAATCATAATTAACGCGATGATCTATGTTACAGAACCGTAAACTATACTTAACACTGAAAACAATCATTTGCGATTATGGCATGCCAAATTCACAAAAATGAGCTAAACATAGTTTCACACTTGATAAACTAGGTTTATCGACAGTAAACTATTGTTTACAAACCGTAAAACTAGTTAACACTTGTTTTATAACAGACGGAAAAACTTAAATGAGCATTATTCGTAAACTATAGTTAACAACCGTTAAACATAGTTTTACAGATGGAAACTATAGTTAACGAATTGTTAACTATAGTTCACGGTTTGTAAACTATAGTTTATAGTCAATAAACCTAGTTTATCAACTGTGAAGCCATATTTAGCTATTTTTTTTGTAAATTTGGCGTGCCATACACATGGGTAATGTACATAGTACATTATATACAATATATACAGTCTGGTGAGAGGTACTGTACTTCTACATCAAATTAAAAACACACACACACACAACTATAGTTTTGTTAAATTTTCGGTATAAAGTCTAAAAAATAAATTGATTTCAAAAGCCAGTTGAAAAACATATTCACTAAAGTGCATTTGAAAAAATTCACAAATCTTTATCGTTAACTTTTTACAAGTAAAATATACAATAGAAAGTGAATTTTTATCTTCAAACGAGTAATTGTTTATACAGACATCTTTTTTTTTAGTTTACAGCTTATTGCGATTCATTTGTTCATTAACTACATCAAATAATGTTTTTGTAAATGAAAAATTAATGCAAGCATATCAATCTGATTTTAATCAGATAATCCTTTGAATTTTGATTAAGTGCATGAAATTAATTTTTAAACATTATTTTGTGTAATTTTAAAGCAAGAAGAGGACGTTCCAAATTTTAAGAACTTGAGTCTGATCCTTTTGTTTTAACATCAAAGTATTAGAATACATGTATTATAAACCGATACTTTTTCCTGGTTATTGATCTCTCCTATAAGTAAAAAGTGAAAGAAGAATCGTTATTTTGTCGGGGTTTAAAATTCGTTGAATTCATGGGTAAATCTTACTGGGTCCCGACGGTAACCTTCACCCATGAATTAGAACCTTGACAAGGATTGATGTCTATACTATTATGTAACATAGTTTAATTCAAAACTTTAAAGTACTTGAACAAAATTTCATTTTCATAATTATAGGCCCTGGATCGAGGGTTTACCACTTGATGAAACAACGGCAAATGAATCTAAAGTGTCCCTGTAAGCGTTCCATATCAGAGGTCAAAGGGGAAACGGAAGTGCCAGAATTGGGACAGGAAGACATCCAGCTCTTACTATTGGGAAAAACTATTCCAAAAAGGGAAGTCAAGAGAGATCAGACACTGGGCCGCATTCTGAAATCTGGCATTACACCAGATGACCTGACTAGAAAAACGAGAAGCCGTCTAAAATGATATGGACTTCAACAACTGTTGGACAGCCAGTAAACGGATTTCTTTCTCAAAAGAAAAGCAAACAAATGATTTTTATTGAGCATGCTGAGATAAATCTTTCAATGACAATGCATTGCATCATTGATTCATGTACACCAAGTTATGCAAAATTATACTGAAATAACTCCTGATAAAAATTTCTTGACAAAGAATTTATTTTGTCTTGTATGTGTTTTGGCACTAATACACAAACTCTGTGCAGGCCGTTCTCTAGTAATGCCAGGAATCAGGATGGTATGCCATCCCTCATCAACAAGGCATGGGGAATCCGTACTTATCAGAGTCAACGGTGAACTCTTCTGTATAAACACTAAAAAAAAAAAAAACGTAGGCCAGAGAAAACCCTAATCATATTAATATTTACATTCAGTGTAATTTTCTGTATGAAATCCATTAGAAATCCACGACGTTCAAATTTCTATAACACACGCGAACCCTTGTCACCGCGCGTTAGAATACACAGTAGAAACTGCATGCATTTTCAATATTTAGGAACAACAAAATGTATATTGTTTTGACTCAATTTCATTTAAAAAAAAAACTACCCTTTTAAAATTAACATAAAATACAACAAATAAGAATTAAAAATCAATTTGTCATTTTTTTCTCTCGCAATGTTTATTTTCGTTATTTAACTTTTCAACGTCACAAACGGCTTTCCAACGTCACGAACGGCTTTTACGTTTATTAAGCACACCAATACCGAAGGGCGCTAAATTCACATTAAACATGAACGAAATAAACAACTATGATAAAGGAAAATTACAGATTGTAAATATAAGCATTGAATTCATATTTTGGGATGTCTTCGGACAACATACCTGGCCCTGCCGACAAATAATCATACGCGCTAACGCGCGGTATTCAATTTGTCGGCACGGCCAAGTGTGTTATAGGACCGAAGACATCCCAAAATATAAATTCAATGCTTAAGTAATTTCTACCTTATGATAAAATTTCTTTTATGAAAAGTTCTTGCGCCGAGCACAGAAAGGCGAGACAAGTGACTATTGGATCTAAAAGTCCGTTTTATTTGTGATGGTTCTTTCCCTCTTTCCCGTACAAGTGGACATTTTAGCGAGACGCAAATTTAGCGATTTCCACCTAAAATCTGATATTTTATTTTTAGCGAGAAGTAATTTTAGCGATTTTAAAATGCTAACTAAAGAAGCTATTACAAATAATACACAATTAATTTTTAGATATATTTAATTTTAGCGATGTCAACACCCTCGCTAATAATGCCAAAATTAAATAAAAAATTCTACTTATACGGTAATACTATAACGCTGTTCAAAATGGTGAGCATTGTACAATATTATTGATTTGTAATTTTTACTCAAGAATGTTTCTTTTATGTAAGGAAAACATTTTCTAAAACGATATACATGTATCTTATTATTTTTTTCCCTTCAAAACATTATCATGATTACGATCAATGCGTTTAGTTTACAAATAAATTCCATATTAAAATAATTATTTTACGTAGTTTCACTCAAAACCAGACACAAAACACGTAATGTTGACCCTGATTACCAAACACAGACTTCCTGTGTAATGCTACGTATACACAGATTTTTGACATCTTTGGTATTGGGGGTCTCCAGTAAATAACACAACTGTTACTTTGACCACTCCCTCTCCTCAGGTAACCGTATGGTAAAAAAATTGGGACTTTAAAATGAAAACGCGAAGATGAAGCTGCGAGGAAAACGTTCTGATAAAGCAACAAACAATAAAACTTACTACGAAGAACAATACATAATTGAAATACCAATCATTGTACATATTATTAGTTACATTGTTTTCAATGATTGGACTACTTTAAAAAAAAAATCATTCAAAATAGTTTATGCTTTGTTTTGGATAACGTCACATCTATTTCATTTCACTAAAATTAACCTACCAACCTAGCAACAAAACTCTGTGAACAATGTGATGATTTTCACTTTTCTTTCGTCAACTTCCCTTATTTATGTAGCATTGTATCCTTATCAACTGCACACGGGTTTGGTGTCCTAACTAACTAAATACGCCAGAGCATTTCCTACAAACAATTTCAACAACAATGCAAGTTATTGACAAACAAGTTGAAACAAGAACAGTCTCGTTTAAACCTATCATTTCGCAAGTACTATGGTCGATACGATGACACTGTCAAATTAATCTGTCAATAATTACTGATTACTTATTGTTATACCATAATTTAAACACACTCAATAGTCTTAGGATTTGTTCTTTTCTCTGGATCTTGACAAGTAGCACACAGCGGGCGTGACGGATCTACAGGGGATACTTACTCCTCCATGACATCGGACCCCATCTCTGATGTTTTAGAGGTCTGTGTTTGTTCTGCTTTTGATTTGTATTGTTTCAGGACAGATGATACAAATTTTATCAAAAAAAAAAATTAAATAGCAACTTGAGTCATATTTTTAAAATGAGTGAAATGAGCAAGCTTCACCGCGTAGTTTTTAATTTTTCATCCAAAATTTCACAATAAGGGATTTTAAGTGAAAAATTTTTGTCAAGATTACAAGGTTGGTTGCAGAAAGGAAAAATTATGAATATCATAGAAGGTTAACAATTTCTTGATACTTTAAAAATTTATTACTTGCATTATTTGCAACAACAACAAAAAAAAAAACGTCCTAAAATATATAACAATCCAGACGTTTTTGGTTTGTATCATCTGTCCTTTAAAGGGCTTGAGCATGGTGAATACTGCAGTGAATACTGCTAATCACAGTTTGTGGTGGGGGATAGGTTTTAAATAAATAATGGGAGCCAACAAAATCTTTATAAAATATTTCGATTTGCTTGAATACTCTATTTTTTCAATTAATGTTGGATTAAGGGGAAAATATATCATTCATCCAATAGTTCCATTTCAAGTCCTTCATTCCGTGGACAAAAGAAAAATATTTAATCAGGAAACTAGGCAAGACCTTTCTAAATAAACTGCAATGACCAATAAATAATGTGAAGAATATTTCAAGTCCACAATGAGCCAGAGTGAATGAGGAATACACCCAGAGGAAGGCGTAGTCATAGCCTTTTGAAAATATAAGATGGACCAAACTTATAAATTTCACTTTTTAGCTCGTCAGTGAACAATGCCTTCACATTCTGCAGGCGACACATCTAGGGGCATAATTTAAACAAATGTTCTCAAGAATCTACACTACCTGAGGATGTTTCTGTATTAAAATAAATATGGATGGCTTTGCCGTTCTTGAAAAGAAGATTTTTCAAGATATTCTCTCTATATATATATATACTATAGCATTCCCATGTAAGGGGTGTTAAGAAATTCGTTCCATAAAGAAATATTTTTGAAAATGTGTGTCAACGAAGTGTTTGATTGAAAAGATTAATTTCCATTCTAAAAAAAATACAAGACTTATGCTCAAGATAATTCACAAATATGCTTCATCACTGATTTTTCTGCCAGACATCATCTGTTTCAATACTTTCCCTCCACTTTTCGTTTCAACAAAACGCAATTAAGACCTAATCAGTAGCAAGAATGGATTCTGTGAACGTGAAATATTACAGATTTTAAATACATATGTATCTTCTCATTGCATTTCTTTTCGAGAGTGAAAGAAAAATGAACATCTTTTTTAACTCTAAATTTCTATAACCAAGGAATGCTTTGTGACAGGTTTGGATAAAAATAACTCAGATGAGCTAAAATTGGAACTCACGATTTTTTTCTTCTTGTTTATTGGATTACAAATGTACTTTAAAAACCATAGCTAGATCTGAAGTCCATTGCTTCAAGCGTATGATTAACACCACACAAATAAAAACAAGATGTGTTTGTGAAACACTATGCGCCCGTCGGCAACAAAGTTCGAAAAAAGCTATATTTAGGATATAGGTCACAGTCAAGGTCACAAGGTCATTGACCTTGGTTTCATTTGAAAGAACTTGATTAGTGGAGTATGCATACCAAATATGAAGTCTCTATCTCTTGTGGTTCAAAAGTCACTGCGAAGGTACGAATAAGCTATTTTTTAGCATATACTAGTAGGTCACAGTCAAGGTCAAAAGGTCATTGACCTTGGTGTCATTTATAAGAGCTTAATTAGTGGAGAACCAAATATGAAGTCTATATGTCTCATGGTTCAAAAGTTATGGCAAAGGTTAAAGTTGACAACAGACAGACAAACAGATAAACAGACAGGACGAAAACAAAAATATACGCCCCGGATAATAACAATCTTAAAATGCATTGATATATTTTTTTCTTCTCAGTAAGCATACCAAATATGAAGTATCTATCTTTCATGGTTCAAAAGTTATTGCAAAGGTTAAAGTTTGCAGACAAAAAAGCTATTTTAGCATAAAGGTCACAGTCAAGGTCACAAGGTAATTGACTTTGGTGTCATTTGAAAGAGCTTTATCAGTGGAGTATGCATACCATATACTTAGTATGAAGTCTCTTTCTTTCATGGTTCAAAAGTTATGGAGAAGGTTAAAGCATGCAGACAAAAAGCTATTTTTAGCATATAGGTCACAGTCAACGTCACAAGGTCATAAATCTTTATGTCATTTGAAAGAGCTTAATTAGTGGAGAATGCATACCAAATATGAAGTCTATAACTCTCATGGTTCAAAAGTTATGGCGAAGGTTAAAGTTGACAACAAACAGACAGACAGACAGATAAACAGACAGGACAAAAACAACAATATACGCCCCGGATCTATCGATCCGCGCGCATAATATCAATCTTAAAATGCATCAATATATTTTTTTTCTTCTCACATAAGAACTATCTTATGCATGGTATGTCAATCGTTGCTATACTCAATCTTTTCCATTTATATTGTTTGATGTCCATTTGTATTTTATAATTAAACAATACAAATGGAAAACATTGTTTGACAAGCCATGCATACAATACTTTTTAAGTTTGTAAGAAAACTTGATGCATTTAACAGTTTAAAGGCTTTTTTCACCCGGCTCAACGGACAACGCATTTGAATCAATTTATTATTATGTTTTTGTTGCCTGGAATATTGAGGACACCGATGCTGTAATTGTTAGCCGAGAAGACAGAAAATCATAGAACATGAATTGTTTCAATAAGAACTGATTCATTGTAATAGAATGTTTTGTTTGTT